TTTAAATAAATTTATTGTTTATAAAAATATAATAATAAATTTATTTAAAGTTATATATCATTAAAAATTCAATATAACAAAAATTTAATATAATACTTTTGTCATTTCGTCCAATAATTGAATCACGTTTATTACTTATCTTAATTATCGTTTTTTAAAAAAATTTGTATGTAAAAATCATTTTTGTAACTAAAAATGTAACAGATTCCTTTTTGATAAGGCAATATAATAATTTTATATATATTTTTTTTAGTTTTATTAGGAAGAATATAATAAGGTAATTTTTTAAAACATTTTTATAGATTTGCCGGTATTATTGAAAATATCTTTACCTTTATGACATTAGGCTTATTATTTTACTTTTGCATTTCATTTTGTCTTCATGGATTCTTGTTACTTGCTGTAAGTTAAAAACAGAATTAACGTATTTTTATTTTTTTTAAATGTGCAGAATTATTTAATACTAAATCATATGTGTTGATATATCTATTGAATAATTTATTAATTAGGAAGATTTGTTATTGATAGGTGATTACTGAAGGAAGTAATTTTTCTGCCGCACGATTATGTTTTCCATTAATGGGTATCACTATCTTGTTTTCGCATGCTTTCATTTATTGTGGTGCTGGAGAGATTGTAACAATGCAAGTTAGTTACAAATTTAATTTCTCAAAATAATTTTTATAAATGTCTTGTAACACAATAATATGCATGTACGCTTATAAATGTAATGATATAAATATACATGTACATATACAGGATGTCTGACATTAGGTATATCACCATTCATAGATAAATAGAACGGACTAAACTAAATCAAAAAGTCCTTTATCATTTTGCAATTTTCACAATAATTACTGAGATATTAATTACTAAAGATCACTGAATAAGCCTATATTTGCTCGGTTTACTTACACCATAAGTGTGCGAGATGCGTCCCCACAAATTGCGCTTGCAGTCATCTGGCGTTAGTAGTAAACAACTTCTTTCTTGACAGTCTCGACGCATTTCGTGCCAGAAGACCGCCACCGCGGGCATTGAGTGGAATAGATACGAATTCCATCCTACTTGCAGCATTATTAATAGCAAGAAGAGGACACATGCACTACTATGAATTCATATCGTGTACATAGCACTTGCGCGTGCGTTGCGTGCCCACCTATGTCCTTCTTCATACTATTAACCATGTTACAAGCGGGCTGGAATTTTGCATCATTGTTGGGCGAACGTATCTCACCATGCCGGATGGATACGCGTTTATTCGACGATCTTTAGTAATATCTTGATTGATTGCGAAAATTGCAAAATGATACAGTATTTTTCAATTCCTCTTTGCCTATCTATTTATGAACAATGATATAATACACCTAATGTTACCCTGTATATACGTATATGTCATTATACAGAGTGTCCGAGACTTATAGAATCATCTCTCTGAGCAAATAGAACGGACTAAATTAATTGTAAGTAAAAGAGTCCTATGTCATTTTGTAATTTTTAATAGTTAATTTCTAAAAATCGATAAATAGCACGGCCAACTACAAGCGCATAATGAGATAGGATTGATCATTATTTTAAATTGCTAGGCGAGAAGTTGTTTATCAATCAACCTTAGCAATGTACGAGCAGTGCAAGAAAATATCTCTTCGCGCTAAATTCACGTATCGCATTGTGTACACTTGCATTTGATAAACTGGACGAATACGCACATTTATTCTGATCTTTTAGAAATTAATATCTCATTAACTATCGTGAAAATTGCAAAATGATATGTAACTTTTTTATTCAATTTAGTCCGCTTTGTTTACTCACAAGAGATGATCCTGTAGGTCTGGGACATATATAATCTGTATACATTCACGTGTGAACATATATACAGTAACATATATATATAATAGTAAACATATATATATAATAGTATATAATATTTATACATATTATATATTCATATATTTATATTTATATATTTTCATATATTTAGTGCGAAGAAGTATACTATGCTTTATGCAATCTTGAATGGTATAAATTAGAACCAAAAAAGGCAAGGAGTTTTATTTTATTAATGATACGAACTAGTCAACCTTTTCATATTACTGCAGGAAAAATATTTCCACTTACGATGACCACATTTGGCAGTGTAAGATTATTAATAACTTACGTAAAAATAAATTACTTTTATTGTTAATCTAAAAATTAATTTTCACTATTTATATTATGCACATTTTTAACAGATATTAAAA